ATGTATTAAAATTATCAGATCATACTATTAATATGATTTATTAATACATAAATATTACTTTGATGAATTTTTTTTAAAATTAAGTGGAACTCTTACCAAATCGAAAATGGCATCAACCCTGGTTGGCTCTCTGATAACTAAATTAAAGCAGTGTAGACATATTTCAATAAGTAACAAAACATATACCTTATGTATATCCAAAACTGCTTGGAAAAAATATAAAAAAAGAGGTCAGGTTTCGAACTTTTTTATCCTTCAAAGTACTCAGAATAAAATGAATGTATTACTCTGTATCAGAGTGTAATCTGCATCAAAAGAAAGTCAAAGTAATGGTAACACAGTGAAGACACTCATACTTAATAATGTGCAATATGGTTTTAAATATTTAACATTCACAACTTTAAGTATGTAAATAACGTATCATAAGTTATCTAGTCAGACGTTAACTTTTTTTAACTACCCATTCTGTCAGAAGCAGATAATCGGCAGTTCATGACGTGTACTTCAATTTTATACTCTTTATTGACTATCAGTTCTCTTAGAAGCAGAATACCATCAGATAAGAAGTGAACTTTTGAAAAATGGTACAAAATCTACTGAATTATTTCTGTTGTATAAATGTTTTACTACTTTTTTCATTACTTTAATGATAATTTCTTCTAGCAATAAAACCCTTATCTTATACATTTAACCCATTAGGCTGATACTACATGCAAATATGAATATACTGGATACTTCAATTTGCATCTGGTAATGTCATTTCATCTACTTCATGAGCATCTATATCATTACCACATCTATCATAAATCATGTTGTTTTTATTTTTGTTTTTCTTCACCTGTTGTTTCAACTCCTTTCTACCAAAGATCAAATTCTATATGCACATATATTTAAACCTTCTAAAATTACTTCTATTTTAATATTCATTTTACTTTTGCAAATATTATCTCCATAAGTTTACTTCCATTACAAATTTCTTAGCTTCAATTTCAACTGATGATACTATTAAAAAAGTGTATGGCTATTTAATCCACAATCTCATTATATGCTATACTTGACTTCAATTTTCAAATAACAGCTATCAAAACTTTGGAGCATATAAATAACATAATCGCCTCTTAATTTACATAAATAACTATACAAATCATACCAATAATTTTATGTATTCATAATCCTATCATTGTTTAATAAAAGATTGATAAATAAAATATCACAATAACTATCACTTTCTCCCTACAATACATCGTAACTTAGATTCCAACAAGTGAACAACCAACAGGCCTCTTATTTTTATTATTACCTACCAAACTTGTCCGTAGGCACCACATCCAACGGGTGTCAACTTCTTGAATACTTCTGGAATCTCCCACACCGTTTTATTTAATTCAATACGAACGAAACCTTTTTTCATTTTAAATTCGTGTATCTTATAAGCACTAATTCAGTGAATGTATTAAAAATGTAATTCAGAATGGTTATAACTCAAAGAACTTAATATACAGTTAGGCGTGTACGTGAAGAACAATTACTTATTAATAATTCAGGTCTAAAGTTTTCATCTCACAACCTCACATACGTAATTATTTACTGCCATCTTGCGGCTCAAAGACAAATTAACAATAAAGTTTAAAACCACAATAACAGAATAACTCCAAATTTATAGCATTTCGTTTGTATGTAGTTAAGCACAGAGCGACACAATGGGGCATCTGTGCTGTGCTCTCCACTGGAATCGAAACCACGTTTTTAGAATTATAAGCTTTCAATCTTACTGCTGAGCCCCTGGGAAGCATTTAGATTTGAACCTATTGTGAGTTGCATATAATTTTAGTTTCTCTACCACCTGAACTAAAGGGTTGATAATCTTGTGCTTGCTAGTAAAACGTTTTTAACAACTCAACGAACCACATTAATTTTATCTCAGAAGAAAAAAATTGTTCAAACCTTATATCAGGGTAATCGAGCGACCATTATTTCGGGGGCTAGTTTTCAATTATTTTGTCTTCTTTGAACAGAAATCGAACCCAGAAGTTCTCGCACTACAAGTGAGTACTCAACCCACTGAGCTAAAGGGTTAACCCACTAGCATATGCTAGTGAAGCACTTTTTTAACAACTAAATTTACCATAAAGAGAGATGCACTGGTCATCAAGTACCAATATTTTGGGGGAAAACAACTGTATATATGACTATACGTGTAACTCAAGCTACGAGCTATAACTAAACACAGAGCAAATTTATGACTGTATATGTAGTCCGAGTTGAAAGTTATAACTAAATATAAAACTTTATGACTACATATGTATCTCGAGCTATGAGTTACAACTGTTGTTCCACCTTAGGTGACGGTCAGAGACTAATGGTTTCTCTTTACCCCAATTCGTGACTCATTTTTGTCCTTTCTTTTCCCTTCTTGTGCACCACAAAACAGTTCTCACCACCACCAGCCGAAAGATCAAATAACCACATGCCCACTTCCACCCGCGAGAGGACTGAAATCGCCGAATCGGAAAGAAGTGAGATCGTGACATCATATGTTTATTAGAAAAAGGGGGAACAAAGACATGAAATATAATAGTATAAATTTAAACATAGCCTAAAGTATACATACGATATCTTCAAGTCAGTTTAAAATGTTCACTTTACTCTTGAAGATGTTATGTTTCTAGATGTTCAGTGTGGTCATTCTTACACATATAAATTACAAACTTCAAAATTGAAATTTATTCAACAAAAAGTACTGCTTACTTAAATTTATATGAAATGTTGCTCCCCAATGGCACAGCGGTATGTCTGCGGACTTATAACGCTACAAACCGGGTTTCGATACCCGTGGTGGGCAGAGCACAGATAGCTCATTGTGTAGTTTTATGCTTAATTCCAAACAAATAAACATGAAATGTTTTAGAAATCACAAGTCTTGATCTTGAGTTGATTTCAGCGCGCTCCTGCCGAAATTATTAGTGTTTGTAAATTTTCTTATTTTTTTACTGTTTTTAGCAAAATACGTTACTTGTAGCTTCCTAGGAAGAAAGCCATGTTATTTTTAAAGAAAACGACACTAATTTGACTTCGGAACTTAAAAACAAGTGTCATTTTATCAATTTTTAGGAAATTACTGTTTTTCAATCTTAGTTGTCATAGTGTGATACAATTGTCTATATCTTAACTTCGAGAAATTCGTATAGAGATCGGAACAAAATGATAAAAGCTTAACTTAGTGATATGTTACTAAGAAAAAAACATGTATTTTAACTTCCGCTAAAATTACTGTACTAATTTATTATTTTATACTTCATTCGAATTATGATGCTGCAGTAACATAGGAAATGTTTTTCTGGAACAAGACGAGGTAAGATTAGATAATTTTGCACTCGACAGTATTAAGTTTCGTTTCGCCGACAAGACCGCGCTGTGTTAGGCCTTGTTTACTTTAGGCCTTATCGGCCTAATATATTGTTACGCCTCCGGTAGTTAGTTAATTTTCCGTATAATTTCTTTCTGGAGAAACTTTAGCGATACAAGTCCTTTCTTAAATAAAACTGGTTTATTCTTTCTAAATACAACTTTGCAATACACTTAATTTCCACAGTCACGCTATAATTCACAACGAATGTCTCACGTGCTCAACAGTACGTCTCTCTCCGTCCGCAGTTCAATTACCCATTGTTGCCGTCACGTCTTGACCGTCTTATATGTACAAAAATACCGAAATCTAGTAACCTCCCGAGGCTTCATGAACATGCTAGAAGCGCGTGACGTGTTACTAGCGTCACGTGACCTCCGCTGTCGTAACAATATAAAAAAGGATTTGCAATTTTTATCACAAATATTTGGTCCATTGATTTAAAAGTAATTACATATATTAAACAAAACTGTTAATTATATCTCTGTTTGATTTGTTTTTTTAGAATCAAAACAGAAATATAATTTGAAATTTTAAAAGATAATAACCATCATAAAACTTTTATAAGCACTGAGAAATATTTAAGAATGACAATAAGGGTTAGCACTTGTAGTTGTTTTGTAAAACGCAACACAATGAAATATTTTCGAAATTTCAAAGCTACGAATTTATACTGTTGTAACACATTCTATCGTATGACGAGTTCTATTAAATTATTTTGTAAAAATGATTCGAATTCTAGGCCATGTAACGATAACGAATTAATGTGTCTCTTCTATAATGTTTGCTACAGCCTACGTTCATTTTATACAAATTGTAGACCTATATTCACAAACAAAGTTTTCAGTTTGAACAAAAACTGTGCTAGTAATGTTATTTACACCTAATTGAGAAACACAAAACTTATTATTTAATTTCACCTTATAACACCAAATTGTTGTTTTCTTTAACTAAGTGTACAGTTAAAGAAAAAAAAAGAGTTTGATGTCATAAGGTCGTTTATTTCTAGTTTTAAAATACAAAACTCTCAGAATTTCTTTGACAATCGATCAAGTAACAACGATAGGAACCATACGATACCTTTCGCTGTCTTACGCTGAGCTTAAGCAGTCATTTACATTAAATACTCACTAAACTAGATGTACTTCTTCCTCAGGGTCACCGAAAATATTTTGTTTCAAGAGTAAATAAAAACAAAGTTAATATTTCTATTTTTTGCTTTTGAAGTTCATCGTCATGCTGTGTTGTAGCCTACAGAGTGCATAATTCTTCTTGTAATTCATAGCATGTGCACATTTCACTGTACAAATTGTAACACTAAGCGTCCCTTATGTGACGTCATTTTAGTGTACACTGGCTGACTGACAAGCAACAATTTACCAAAGAATACATTACTGTGAAGTTGTACGAGTGGTTAAAAAAAAATGACCCCTCCAGGCAGCATTCGGCCCCCTTTCGGAGAAAGTATCAAATTGAAGTTTCGCACACCAAATAATGATTTTTATAATATATTCACGTTTTTTCAGATTCAACGAAATTTCACATTATTACGTCATCATAAACTTTTTACGTATTCTAGGACTACGTTTAATTAAATTTATAGATCTAGCGTAATCATTATGATTAGCAGCTCCCTGTAGCAAACAACTAAATTATAACACTGAAAATATATTGCTTATTACAATAAAAATTTAAAGATAAAAATAAGATACTTTATTTGCAGAAACTAAAAAAGTGTGTAGAAAGTGCTTCTGAAGTCTCAAACTATTTCACCTAGTAATTGGGGGGATACAATAAAATAAACCATACAACAGGTGCGGCGATTCAATGCACCCGGGTCTGATAGTAATAGCATGAAAGAAGAACTAGAGAAACGTAGAATTATATTGTTATCTGTATGTAATACCAAAAATATTTTGTCTCTCATCGTCCAGCTTAACTGACGAGTTCTGGTATTGAACGAGAGACCTTTTGGGCAATGACTTGTGGGAGATAAAAGTTTGTTTGTTTGTTATGGATTTCGCGCAAAGCTACACGAGGGCTATCTGCGCTAGCCGTCCCT